TTGCGCAAAGAGAATTGGGATACACACCCATGCGGTTAATAGCAACCCATCGTTGGGCTTGAAGGTCCTTGCGATGGCTACTCGAGTGTAGAGTCGCAGGCCAACGAAAACAGTGTTGAGAACTACTAGAAGCGCTCCTATCCCGATGAGGGCCTTGCCCGTGCTACCGATCGCCATGTCGAGGGTTCAAGTATGTCGTCGGCTGGAGAGAAGTCGAAAGGAGCAGCTAGCACGAATGAAGGTCTGGTTTCCAGACCAGATATAACCGTCGAGGTGTCGATATGCGTGCTGCGATATACGTCCTACCGGAGGTGATGTTTTCGCGACAACGCAGGTGGACTTGCGATAGATTTAAAAATCACCTTTCAAGAAGAATACGAGGCGAACGACACGACGCAAACACAAATCACCACGACAGCACAGATGACGGATCTGGCACACAAAGCTTCGCTGCACGGGCACCTGATTGGGGGGATGGTATTCGTATTAGAGTGCGAGACTGCGTGTTGGAGCTCGCATGGTTTCGTGGGGTGTTTCAGAACATTGAGATGGCAAATTATCCAGATTGTTGTCTGACCGAAGCTGGGATGGCCTAGATACCGCGATACCTAACACTCAGCACCATCTCCAGTCCAAGATGACAGAAAATGGGGTACAGAATTAGCAAGAACCAGATGGGTGGCGGCGACACCATCTTTTTGATATGTCCAAAATGCGATACCGAAAATGGGCGATCATGGAAGAGGTGCGGGCCGACGCGGTGCTGTCGCAGTGGGCTTCGATGCTAACCACGCGGTTAGCGCTCGGCAATCTTGATCCGCTCGCATCGTTCGCCGGTGACATTCAGTGTCGGAGCCGTTGATGGGCAGCGGCAAAGGCCGCCAACCAGGAATGTCTGCCCACTTGGCACGAGTAGACATGCCGCATCACCGGATGTGAGCGACGGTCATGTGACTTGGGCTGCCTGTCCTCCAATTCGAGGTGCAGGATCTTCCTTGGGCGTCGTTCGTAGGTTGACGACCGCAAAAGGCAACGAAGGAAGATTACGAACAAGAAAATTCAAATAAGTTGATTGCGTACATATACGGCGTACGTTGACATGGTATTTTTGTTCTTGACAAATGCCCCACTCCATCGTAAATACGAATACAGTAAGTTGCTACGTAGAATGCATAAGCCTCGTATTGTGCGTTGCTGACTCTTACTAGACGAGGGGTTCAACTGCGCAGTCGTAACGGAGGTACATGATGCCGCCGAATGAGGTGATCGCGGGCTGTAGCGGCAAGCACACTAACCAATTTGAGGCAGCTGGTACTTGGCGGGTGTGCGTGACAGTGTTGTTTAATTAACTTGTATGTCGCAATAACAAAAGGACCCAGCTATGTTTGTTGACAGGTGGGCACTCTGAGCGTTGAAGCGAGCAATCATGTTCCATTCTGATGGATTACCGTGTCTGAATAACTTGGCTGTCGCAATACCTGATAGGATAGATAGCATGTAAACCAACTCTAGCCCCAGCTTTTGGCCGTTGCTATCCGCATGCTATCCGGATTTAGGGTCAGGCCATGTGGTGTCGTTACATTTTAATGGGGCCTGAGGTGGGTTTGGTACAAAGGCGGATTCCAGCCCCATGTTTTCACGATGAGAACTTGCCTTGTAGAAAGTGACACCGATAGATTTTCGCCTAGAACCTGTCGTGGAGTTCTTCAGGTGGAGCTCCGCCGTCAACAAAGCTGCCGGGGAATTAGGACGGATGACAGTCGGTGGGCTGGCGGCTGCGGTTACGCTTTCTCTCGGGCATTTGGCGGACAACTGTCTTCCCCCGTAGTCCGCCCAGTTCTTGTCGAAAGGATTGCTGGAACGATGATGGACAGATTTCTGTCAGAGTGTGACGGGCGGAGCAACGTTGAGCGGGGAATGGCCCCAACGAACGAATATATCTCTCGCTCTTTCACTCTTTGGGACACTTTACCGCCGACATCAAGATTTCCCATCCACACGGATAAGCCAAGAAAAGATTTGTGGAGCATTGGGATGAGGAGCGCCCAAAGTTTGCTGTTTCATGGTGACTGACAGCGCTGACCACCATTCCGATCTGGCGTTGCTTTACGGGATTCTCATGCGACAAAGAACCCTTCACTTCATAAAGAGCCAACCACTTTACACCACGAAAGAAGACGCATGGCTGGTAAGTTCGGAATTCGGCTGTCTGGGGTAATCGACCTCCCACATTCCGAACGAACACCCAACAATCTGGTTAAGATTGATGATTAAGTTTAAATTCGAGATGTGCCATTCATACGACTCACGTCAAAGTCGGACTGGGGCGGTAGCCGGCGGCTTCTGTCCCGCCTCCAGCTAGACGCACAGCGCGCGGAAACTACCGAAATTCAGCGAATCCAGAGGGACTCGGCGCCTGATACCTACATCATCTTACATCCTGTAGTGGCCACCTGCATAGAGTACGTTGGAGAAAATGACGCACCCTAGCCTATCGCAAGCTATCAACAGGTTGCAAGAACAGCCAGTCTTACGGGAAGGTTACTATGGACCACCTTTACCCTTCGCTAAACCGGAACAGGCGACTGGATCATTGCCAACGTAACATTGACCATCGGTCCTCGGCCACCGACCCCATAGAGTCTAATACAGACAGTACGGGGCCAACGGGGCCGAAATGGAGCTAGCCGGCGGGATGCCTGCCGGCCCGCCAATACGATGACTTCGGTGTCTCGTATGGCATCAAGGTCAGACGGTACTTTTTCTTCAACTCAATGACTTAGAGGCTTGGCGAGGAGGGGTAGCTCACTGAAGATGTCTTCAAGATGGATAAGATAATCTTATCTGATCTGCAGGATGCGTGGTATTCCCCGTCACACAAGACAACGTGCCGGCACCTGAGACTCGATCACCGCATGTAGACTCGGAGGAATTACCTAACGAGCTGGAGGGGTAAAGGCGTGATTGAGTCCGACAGCGGCGAACCCTTACGGGCAGGTACAGACAATGTAGACAAGAGGCGCAGGCCGTCTTGGCCAGGTCGCCTTGGCCAAATCATGACAGATGACAGACGGGTAAATAAGGGACGGATCCCCCGGCTGTGTTCAAGTGCCGTGGACTAACGATCTATCTCCCGTTCCATCTCGATTTCTCTGCTTTTCCAGATACCCCTCCTGTTCTTCCTTTTCCCAGAATGGCGTCACCACAGCCTACTATCAGCGAGCTTGTGGCCCAGATTGGCCAGCTCTCAGCCGATTTTACCAAGTTCCTGGGCGACAACAAGATCCCCGAGCCTACTCTTGCCGCGGATAGTGTGCGAAGCTACAGTGGTCTGACGTCAGAGGCTTTCTTGCTTCGACAGAGGTTGATCGATACTTTGAAGGACCTGTCGTATCTGGTCGAAGGTCCTAGTGAGAGTGTTTTCAACTTTGCCCACAACGTAAGTCACGCCACCCCCGAGAGACAGTTCCTGGAGATCTGAGCAACATGAATAACATATTGCTTCACAGTATGGCCCCGACGGCGCAGCACTCAACGCCATTAACTATTTCGACTTTTGGTCGGCCGTCCCCCTCAACGGCGACGCGTCCTACGCCGATATTGCCAAGCATGTCGACCTGCCCGAGGAGGTTGTCCACCGCCTTCTGGAGCATGCCTATACCCTCCGAATCTTTGAGGAGACGGAACCAGGCAAGCCTCTCACCACTCGGGTGAGACACACTTCGCGGTCCGCGGCTGTTGCTCAAAATGAGGGCCTCCACGGACTCGTCTTCAACATCATGAACGATGCCGGCCCGCCGATGGTGTTCCTTCCTTACGCGCTGGACAAGTACCAGCGCGGCAAGAAAGAGCTCAAGGAAGACATGAACGAGACTGCCTTTGGCATGTGGCAGAGAGGCGAGTTCTCCAAGGGCTACAAGACTTCCTGGGAGATGATGGAGGAGGACGGCGAGGGCGAAAAGAAGGGATACCGCATGAGGACATTCGTCAAGTGGATGAACTACATCAAAGAGATCTTCCAGCTTGAGGGCATGGTCAGGGGCGCGTACGACTGGGGTAACGCTGGCGACCTCAGTGTGGTTGATGTAAGCCGCCTCTTTGAACTTTCACCTTATCGCATCAACTAACACAGCACTAGCTCGGCGGTTCCGGAGGTCACGACAGTTTCGTTCTGGCCAAGTCTTTCCCCAACCTCAAGATTACGGTCCAGGATCTGCCAGAGTGCCAATCTTCTTTCGACAAGAACATCCCGGAGGAGCTGAAGGGCCGTGTGAGCTTCCAGCCCCATAGCTTCTTCGAGCCCCAAACCCTCCAGGCGGACGTGTACATGATCAAGCTGATCCTCCACGACTGGCCCGATGCCGAGTCCATCAAGATCATCCAGGGCCTTACGCCGGCATTGCGCCCGGGCTCCAAGGTCCTGCTTATAGACTACGTCGGCAAGCAGGGCACCGTTGAGGAGAGCGCTGCTGTCGCTGCGTCGATGCCTAGATCGATCCAACAAATGGGCACCTCCACCGATTTGAGAATGATGGGACTCTTTGGTACCAAGGAGAGACACGTTGACGCATGGAAGGGTATGTTCAAGAGGGCAGACGAGAGGTTTGAGGTTACTCGGTTGGAGGCGATCCCGTTGTCCTTCTTCGTCATCATCGAGGCTACATGGCGTGGGAACTAGACCGGTTATTTTATGAACAATGTGTTATGACTGCTTAGTACATAGGGGAGGATGATTACTGCCAAAAGTTTTCAATTCATTTACACGATGCCTCTGAACTCTTCTTGTCTCCTCGGTCCCTGTGTCGTTTCAGGGTTGCAACCCGCTGCTACGGATAGATGGGCCCATCTAGAATTTCCCAGTCCCACAACTTCGGGATGGTTTCCGGATCCATCATCGTCCACCCAGCGTCCCACTCCGCCCCTCGCTTCACGATGCCCTCCATCCACCACACGCAACCTTCAAATGTTGTTTCCGCTCCAGATGAGTCATCAAATAACATGGTTTCGTGGTGTAGTTGGTTATCACGTCAGTCTAACAGACCGAGGTCCTCTGGATCCTCGCCTGGCTCACTGAAGGTCTCCGGTTCAAGTCCGGGCGAAATCATCTTCTGGGCGAATGGTTTAGTGGTATAATACTCGCTTAGCATGTGAGTGGTCCAGGGTTCGATTCCCTGTTCGTCCATCTTTTTGCTGTTGTGAAGCTTCTAATGATATGTTGCCGTATGGTTGACAGCGATGCCCTCGCTTTTGGCCCTGGGGCGGCTAGCACCAACTTCTAAAACCAGGATCGTGCTCCCCCTAATGCCCATGAGTAGAGTTATCTGAGGATATATGTGTCTTTCGCGATGGTAATATCTCTATCGACCATGTGAAAGCGCGGCGCTATCGCTCAGGTGAACCTCAAAGAGACAGTCTGAAGTCTGCATTTGCCGAACACTGAGCCCACACAAAATTGAGCTGGATAAACTGTAACAAATTGCGTTCCTGATTTTCAGTGAGATAAGTCCCACAACCCGCGGCGCAACGCCGTACATTCGGTGACAAAGCGGGACACACGGTGGCATCTGAAAGACCGGCCGTCACCTGAACCCGCTGGCCGAACCGCCGTGATTGGAGAGTCGATGGTGGCAGACATGGGACGCGCGCCGGCGCACTCATTAGCGCACTCGTCAATGCACCAGTGCATGGAACAAGCCTAGGGTCGGGATGAACTAGTCGAGTCGCTGCAACCTTTAGGTCTGCAGAAAGCATGGTAATTCTGCGACTAGAAGAGGGGGGACCCGAAGGTGAGACCCGAGGAAGCACTTTGGGAAATCCGATTCACATTTTGGGACGAGATGGGACGGCCGGTGAGCGAAAAGTGGCGCCGTAGATGGGAGCTCTTCCGATGGCTTGCATTGTCAACGTGCATACGAAGGACTGGTGGCTGTGTGATTACTTGGGGCTAGCTTTCTCTCACTTGGCTGTTCTGTTCCAGATGATTGGTTTGGGCAGCAGGAAAGTCATCATCTTGAACAAAGAACGTGATGGGAATGACTGGCCTGAAGTCACCATTTCAGTGCTTGATCCAAACATATCCTGTCTGTAAAGCCATCCTTGGACCAGGCCGGACCAGGCCGCCGTCCCGTCTCATCCTTCCCCTAACCATGAGCTGGCTTCGGCCGACCACCACCTAAACCTCCAGGATGTTAGCTTCCTTGCGTGCGTTAGACGCAGTAATAAGCCAGTCACCAGGCCGAGGTGGTAGAAGACCCTTAGCCAGCACTACATCCTGTCATCCACACAACCACGTCCTTCACCTAGCGTTACCTAGCGGCATCCCCAGCTGGACCAGGCTTGTCCCCGGCTCAGCCATGATTCTGCGTCTTAAGAGTACAGTTAATCTTGCGTGCGCGGTCATAAATGAAGCTCGTCCCCAAAACCTTCCATTAGCTTGTGCCTTGATGCTGTCATCTTCAGCTCGCTCACGGGCCAATTTATTGTGTTTGCTTCCTGATCCCGAGGCTCTGGGACTGGGACCATTCTTCACCGCCGCCCTACTGTGCCTCACATTCCCCGTTTCGTTACCAACCTGTCGGGTCAACGAAAGAACGAGAAATGACAAAATAGAATCGGGGAATAACGCCGCGACGAAACAACAGCTCGGTCATATCGAAAGAGACACAACACCGAGAGACGCAAACTGACGACCGGCATCATTGGCCTTCGAGACATCAAAACCCAGCCGGACGGTAATTGAAAACGGGAGCGGAACGGGGCGAGTCGAAGCGAGAACATCCGGGGCGGATCGAGCGAGCGACATGCGTTTTTGACAGCACCAACAGAAACACTTGCTTCTTGCCTCCCCCGTGTCGCTGAACCTTGTGCGACGTGCCACGGCGGCGAGCCAAGTGCGCCAGCAAGCGGCACAGCGAGTCTTACGGGCGAGACGACCAGGGCGGGTAGATTGAAGTCGGGCGGGTCGCGAGGAAAGATGACCGGCATCCTGTCCTCCACCGTTGGCCGCGCGTGGTATCCCGACTCCTCGGGGTTGCTGATCAAATTGATTGGACTGCCAATATTCGTCGCATTTCTGGTGTGGGAGTTCCGATCATGGTATCGGCTGAGAAAGATCCCCGGCCCTTTCCTGGCATCGGTTTCGGTCTTGTGGCAGTTGAAGAAGGCAGTTGGAGGGACTTACCACGAGCACTTGAATGATGTTGCTAGGAAATATGGTAAGCATTATGTCCAACTTTCCCTTTCATGGACACCTTTTTCGAAGGACGGGACCTCTGATTCAATGACTTGGAACGTACACAAGCAAAAAGACCATGCCGACAATAGACGCTGATCAACACCATCACAGGACCCCTAGCGCGCATCGGCCCAAACGAGCTGTTATGCACTGACCCCGACTCACTGCGCAAGATGTCGGCCGTCCGCTCGCCGTACACCAAAGGCGATTTCTACGATTCCGGCCGCATCACCCCCGGCGTTGATAATGTCGTCTCGATGCGGGATGAAGAGGAACATAAGGCCATGAGGGCGCGCATGGCACCGGCCGTAAGTCATCCTCTTCTATCGATGTCTCTCAAACATGCTACAGCGAAGCGAAGCGGGGGCGCTGCACCCTACCCTACTGCTAGTTATGTCAGTAGCTAACTCTCAAGATCGATAGTATGCTGCAAAGGAAAACGAGGGTTTTGGCTTCGAGACGGGCATCGACCGCCAGCTCATGAATTTCGTACAACTGATTGACCAGAATTATGTCTCTACCGATGCCGAGTTCCGACCGCTGGATCTCGCTGAGAAGACGCAGTACTTTGCGTTAGACGCTATTGGGGACATTTCTTTTGGCGGTGCGTTCGGGTTCCTTGCAGAGGACAGGGATCTGTTTCGGTACATCGAGATCAACGAGTCGTCACTGCCCATCATGAACGTCGTCTCGGTGCTTCCATGGCTCGGTCGACTTGTTCACAAGTGGCCATTCCGTTTGATGTTGCCTACAGAGAATGATCAAATCGGCTTTGGGCGTTTGATGGGGTGAGTCGCACACCCTCCATACTCATGTACGCTGACTGACATGCTGCAGTTTCGCTAGGAACTATGCCGAAATGAGACTACAGCCTGGAGCGAAGCCCCAGAAGGACATGATGCAGGCCTTCATCAATCAGGGCCTCAACCTGGACGAGCTCATTCAGATCGTCTACATCCATATGTAATGCAAACCCACAAAGACATCCGGGGCATCTTAACTAACATCTCCAAAGGATTGCCGGCACCAATTCTGCCGCACAAGCGATGCGCATGACTTTACTATGCTTAATAAATAATCCCGTCGCCTACCGCAGACTTCAGCGGGAAATCGACGTCGCCATAGCGGCGGGCTCAATCAGCTCTCCCATCACCAACACCGAAGCCCTCAAACTTCCGTACCTCCAAGCCGTCATTCGCGAGGGCCTGCGATTTTATCCCCCGGTCACAGGCTTGGGGTTCAAGCAGGCACCTGAAGGCGGCGACGTGCTCAACGGCTACTGCGTTCCCGCCGGCACACAAATCGGGCAGAACTTTTTCGGTGTTGGTCGGTCACAGTGGGTTTGGGGCCCTGACGCCGATGTCTTCCGCCCTGAGCGGTGGCTTTCGGCAAGTGAAGAGGAGCTAAAGCAAATGAATGCCGCCGTTGACACGCACTTTGGCCACGGCAAGTACTCATGCCTGGGAAAGTCGATTGCCATGATGGAACTGAACAAGGTTTTCGTTGAGGTAAGCTCTCGATACAAGGACTTTGATCGACGGTGGCTCACATGACTTTAGCTGCTACGGAGATACGACTTTACTGTTATGAACCCCGAGAAGCCCATCAAGACGCTCAGTGCGATTTTCTTTGTCGCTCGAGACTTTTGGGTACGGCTCACGCGTCGCTCCGCCGAGACATAATGAGCACGTTGTTTGTAATGACTACCACTACTTGATGTAGCGATTGATGATGTATATTTGTATTTATGTTTAGCAAGAAGACGCGACCGTTGGTGGATGGGCTGATACCCAATCTCAATATGTCTTTTTCCAATTCTTCAATAATATTGAAGGCTGCGATAGTAGCCGCAGCTTGTATTCGGTACCGCCCGATATTGTCAGTCAGACTCCCCGGGTTCCACTTAGACGACTTGACACATCCTCATGCATAACACAGCATAGCATGCTTCATTGCATAGTGTTGAGGTCCTCAATTAATACGTGTTGCCAGATCCTAACGTATCTGATAGTTACGAATGAAGGCACAGACTCCACCGCGTATGCAAACTGTCACACTGCGAAGCTACACTCTAGTGTAGGGCTTCTCGCCAAGTCAAGTATTTAGAAGATCTCCTCCTCCTCTGCGTCGTTGGTGAGCTGAATATCACGCTTAAAGATCTCCTCCTGCTCGTCATCGTTGGTAAGCTGAACATCGCGCTTGAAGATTTCCTCCTGCTCGTCGTCGTTGGTAAGCTGAAGCTCACGCTTGAAGATTTCCTCTTGCTCGTCATCGTTGGTGAGCTGAACGTCGCGCTTGAAAATTTCCTCTTGCTCCTCGTCGTTGGTGAGCTGGAGCTCACGAGCCTTCAGGCCCTTCCTAGCGGTCTCGGCGTCCTCAGGGTTCTCGGCGGCGAGAGCGTTGAGAATGGAGTTGACGTCATCCTGGCGCTTGAAGATCTCTTCCTCCTCAGCGTCCTGAGTGAGCTGGAGCTCGCGCTTGAAGATCTCCTCCTCTTCAGCATCTTGAGTGAGCTGAAGCTCGCGAGCCTTCAGACCCTTCCTTGCGGTCTCGGCATCCTCGGGGTTCTCGGCAGCGAGGGCGTTGAGGATAGCGTTGACGTCGTCCTGGCGGGCAACGAGAGAGTCGAGGGGCGCGGCGATGGCGGCGGCGGCCAGGGTAGTGAGGGCGACGGTGAAACGCATATTGGCGGTTGTAAGTGATCGTAAGGATTAAAGGATAGTAGGTTGAACAATGTGAGCACAGCTCTGGAAGTTAAGATTTGAAGATTATCGAGTGGACCGGCACACACAGAGTTTGGACACTGCAGAGCAGGAGTTCGCACGAAGCGAGAAGATAATTATCGAGGAGGCATGGGTATTTCAATGTCT